GTGGAACATCACACACCGGGGCCTATTGTGGGGAGAGGGGAGGGGGGAAGGATAGCATTAGGAGATATACCTAATGTAAATGATGAGTTAATGGGTGCAGCACACTAACATGGCACATGTATACATATGTAACAAACCTGCATGTTGTGCACATGTACCCTAGAACTTAAAGTATAATTAAAAAAAAAAAAAAAGAAGATACAAATGACCAATATCAGGAATGAGAAGGAAAACATCATTACAAATTGTAGAGATCTTAAAGGAATAATAGAATACCATAATTAACTTTATGCCAATAAATCCAACAACTCAGATGAAACAGACAAATTCCTTGAAAGATACAAACTACTAAAGTTCATTAAAAAAAAAAAAAAAAAGGAAAATCTAGATTTCCCTATATCTATTAAAGAAATCAGTTATTTAAAACCTTCCTACATAGAAAACCCTGGGCCTAGAAGGCTTCACTAGAAGGCTTAAATTCTATAAACATTTAAGGAAGGTACAATACCAATTCGACACAAACTCTGTTTTAAAAATTGAAGAAAGGGCCAGGTGTGGTGGATGAATCCCAGCTCTATGGAAGGCTGAGGCAGGTAGATTACTTGAGACCAGAAGTTGGAGACCAGCCTGGCCAGCACAGTAAAACTCCCTCTCTACTAAAAAATACAAAAATTAGCTGGGCATAGTGGCACACACCTGTAGTCTCAGCTACTTGGGAGGCTGAGGCACGAGAATCACTTGAACCTGAGAGATGGACATTGCAGTGAGCTGAGATCGCACCACTGCACTCCAGTCTGGGCAGAGTGAGACCCCATCTTAAAAAAAAAAAAAAAAAAAAAAAATTGAAGAGAAGCTAGGTGTGGTGGCCCTATTAAGATTTAAATAGGTTCATACACATTTAAAGCACCTAACTTAAAACAGTGCCTGGTGTATGGTAAAAAACTATAGAAGGAAATGCTAGCTATGATTACCACCTCTGGAAAATACCTAGTTCTTAATCTCTGTAGTTCTCAGATGATCTCTCAGTCCACGTTGAGAAGCATTTCAGCAAGTTAAACTGAATCTCTTTGAGAGTGCATACAGGGTGAAGTAAAGGCAGAGCCTGACACTTGAATCCTGGCTGCATCATTTACTAGCCAAGTGGCCCTGGGCACCTTACTTAGCCTCTCTAGACCTCTATCTTTGAAATCCTAAGATTGTTGTTAGGATTGAGTAACAGATTGCTTTTCTTTCCTCAATCTCCTACCAAAACCAGACTTGTTTTACTAGAATGCCTTCCAATCAGACTGGTCCCAGGACCAGCTACTCCAGAGACCAGGAGCAAATGCTGGTCCCAGGGGAGGTCAATACTGAAAGGTCAATCTTGTACTCAGCCCATGACCATCCAGGGTATTGTCTTCCCAGAGGCCAGAATTATTTGTCAGTATCAGGAGGGTGGCCTCTTAGGAATCCATGAAAACTCCTGGGATTCTGATGGGAATGGCCTGGGATCTCTCTAAAGGGCTTATGATCAATCTCCTTTTATTCTACCCATTAGCTGGTAATATTTCCAAAGGTCAGCCCTGGAATTTCTAATCTTCTCTATTTGGGAGTTAATTACAATTTATAAACATAATGACTGCAAAAGTCTATATTTTCTTTTTATTTTCTTTCTGAAAAGTATTTTCTACCCTAATATTTCATGAGAACTTTGATTCCTATTAAAATATGAATGTTCACATTTTAATATCCTCTCTAAATTGAAAGCACATCTACCCCTACCTCCCGGTGTAGAATGTGGCTCCATATGAATTTTTCCCTGAAACTGCTGATGACCTATCCGTATTTCTGAGTTCATCTCTGGCTTCTGGTTTCACCACTCTAACCCATATTTCTATTTTTAGGCTGGTCCCCCAAAACTAGAAGGCTGTTCACTATCTGTTCTCTAGTGTTAGCAGCCACAACCATTCTGCACTGATCAAGGTTATTTACTCCAGAATCATCTTTGTTAAATCTCTTCTTTGTTCCCCATGTATTGTAGTAGGTTTTAGATATATGTTTCTCCTCTCTGGCTGCTCTAATCCAAACCTTAATCAGTTTACAGGACAACAGTGATAACTTTCTTGCTGGCCTCCCCCTTCACGCCTATTCTACTCATAGCAACAGAAACTTCTTACTCAGGTGTTATTGTGAACATGGCAACAATTTTTAATTCTACTTAAACCAAACAATTTAAGTCTTGAAGACACTCCCCTACTGACTCTCGTCTAGTGGCTTTTATTTTTTGGCACTCTGGATCCAGGCTCACCAACATGGCCACCTGTGTTTTCTCTCATTACTTGTATAATCCTCAGTCTCAAGGACCACATGCTCCTATTACATGATATGGTGCCTAAGAACATGGGTTATTGGGTCAGACTGCCTGGGTTAAATTCCTCATTCCATTACCTATCAGTTGTGAACCTCTGTCTGCCTCAAGTTTCCTCATGTAGAAAGGAAGAACAATGGCAGTACTGACTAGCCTTACAGGGTCGTTGCAAGGATTAGATAATCTATGCAAAGCACTAAAGACGATGTCAGGCACAGAATAAACACTCAGAAAGTATTAGTTACTACTGATCTCCTACTATTACTGCTTCATAACAAAAGACCCAGGGTCTGCTACATACTAGGTGATCCATAAGTTGAATCAAGGAATAGATACTCATTCTTGCTCCTAAAATTATTGAAACACTAGTGAAAGGCACAGGTTTTAATCTAAAATTTTGACCTACCTTTAAATCTGAGTTGGCTGCAAATTTCTGTCCAATTAAAGCTGCATTTCCTCCTACATAGTGCTGTAAGAGAGTTCAAGGCTTTTAGACTGTATTTTAATACAACTGTATCACCCAAGTTTAATCATTTTTTATTTTAAAAATTAATTTATAGTCCATTTTCCCAAAGACATTTTGAGGTGATTTTACATCAAAGGACACACAGATGAAGTTAATGCAACAGAGAAACAGAAAGTGAGTAATAAGGTGAAGAAAATAAATAGGACAACCATGAAAATGAGTCTGATTGCTTTTAACTGTTGATCAAATTCAGCTCTGAGCTTACAGCCAGCCAGAAGAGACAACAGGAAAGAGAAAAAGTATGGACAGGGCTTATCTTCTACATTGTAGTCCTTCTAAAATGAAAAACTTCACTATCCTATGGAAAATCATTGAGTAGATACTATAATGAACTAAAATCTAACTCTTGAGTGAGGCACATATGGCCTTTATTTAACCCATGCTTTCCTTACCACCTTCATCTCCTGCCCTTCCCTTCCACACCCTGCTTACAGCTCTCCAAGTCAGCCTTCCTCTGTCTCTGTGCCTTTGGCACATGCTGTTTCCTTCCATTAGGACACCCTCCCCTTCTCATATACTAGGCAAAACCCTGATCACTTTCCAAGAATCAGCTGCAGTGTCACCTTTTCTGTAATGCCTTCTCTGTTCCCCTTACCTCAATGACATTTCAGCCTTCACAACCACCCTCACCAGATAGGATTACAGATCTCTTCCTACCCCTATAACCTGAACAAACCTCTAATGCGGCTCTTGTCCACTTGGGCTGCTATCATCTGGGTACACAACTAGGTCCTTCAGGGCAGGGACTGTCTTCTTATAAGTGTTCAGTAAATGTTTGTTGCTAAATTTTGAGAAATGAAGAAACACACTGATGTGTTGGGAAATATAAAGGTTTTCCTGGGAGTAAATTCTAAAGATAATAGGCCCCTAATATAGGACAGTACTTTCCCTTAAACACCACATCTCTCAGCTGAGGACCCAGAGAACAAATAATTCAAGGTTGGTGTTCCATGTTGCTAAGGATGGATCCATGCGCCTTGGAAATCTGACACATAACAGCTAAGGTTGCTGTTCTATTATAAAAGGTGAAAAGCCTAACAGTGTTACCTGGGTGGAATGCTACAATCCCAGCTTTCTAGTCCTCAGCCCACACAGAGGCATAGACTAAACCAGGGGTGTCCAATCTTTTGGCTGCCCTGGGTCACACTGGAAGAACTGTCTTGGGTCACATGCAAAATACACTAACAATAACAGCAGCTGATGAGCTGTTAAAAAGAAGAGGGGGCAGGGGGTTAAATCTCATAATATTTTAAGAAAGTTTATGATTCGTGTTAGGCCACATTCAAAGCCGTCCTGGGCTGCAGACTGGACAAGTTTGGAGTAAACAATTCTAGATGGTAGACATCACTCTTACGCTAATTTTGTGCTGACTAACCTCTGAATTCAGATGGGACAGTAATAGCTTTTTAGAGATAAATTTGAAACTTTCTGTGATATGTAGGCTGAAATTTGGCCCTTTAACATGTCAGCCTTAATGTTTTATTTAACCACGATGGCTAGAATTTACTAAAAAAAAATCTTGGGAAAATAGTAAGATATCTACAAAGTAGATTTCAGAATTTTCATATAATGTTTATCAACCTGCCTTAAAAAGGCACTCCCCTAGTGAAAGGGGGTTTTATAATGTTACGAAATAACTTGGACCATCACAAAGCTAGATAAAGTTGCTGTAAAAAAATTTTTCATCAAGAAATAAAGGCAGAATCAAGAGAGAAGAGAAATCAAACTGGTGGTTTAAATTCCATAATCATAAAGACTTTTGAGCAGTGGACTCCTCATGTTAGAACTATCAAGATTCTCTCATAAGACATAAAAATCTCACTACTGATCGCAGCTGTCAAAATGATAATAACTGAAATCTTAACTTGCTGTCTCCTTTAGAAACTCAGCTGGGTAATGCCTATGTCCATTTCTAATGTTCAAATAGGCAGCTTCAAAGACAAAAAACTTATTATTTTCTAAAACTTTTTGAGATAGGGTTGCACCCTGTTGCCCAGACTGGAGTGCAGTGGCATGATCACGGTTCACTGCAGCCTTGACCTCCTGGGCTCAGATGATCCTCCCACAGGCACATGCCACCATGCCCAGCTAAGTTTTTCTATTTTTTGTAGAGACAGGGTTTCACCATGTTGCCCAGGCTGGTCTCAAACTCCTGGGCTCAAGCAATCCACCTGCCTCAGCCTCCCAAGTGCTGGGATTACAGGCATGAGCCACTATGCCCGGCCTAAAATCTTAAGTCATCAAAAAAAGCAGTCACAAAGGTTTGTCTGTGAAAGGTGCCAATTAAAAATGGCATTAAGAGCATCCCTGGCTAGAACTACCAACCTAGACTGGGTGCCCAGCCAAAAGAAGGTTTAAATGAGGAGGAAGAATGGGGTGAGGGCAAGACACGGGAGATAACCAAACAACCAAAACTTAGCCTCAAGAGGCATGAGGGTACATGTAGGAGCAGGCATACTGGGGTGAGGTAGGAAGAGCCATGGTTCGGTCTCCAGCCTCAGCACTGCCTCTTATTCCACGTGAACCTCCAGGAAGTGCCTGGACCATGCAGGGCTTTGTATATATTCACCAGGTGAGCTTGGAAACCACTAAGGTTCTAACTCTGACAGGTTCTACCCTGCAGACCAGTGGTTCTCAAAATGAGATTCTCAGACCTACACGATCAACCACGAAACTCACTGGAAAGGTAAATTATTGGGTCTCATCCCACATCTACTGAATCAGAACTCTGGTAGTAGGCCCAGAAATCTGTGTTTCAACAGCCTCTCCAAATGATTCTGACACATGCTCAAGTCTGAGAACCATCAACCTAGACCCACAGTTTTCAACCACGGGTGATTTTGCTCCCCTCCTCTTCAAACTGGAATGAAAAGTTGCTTGCTTATTTCTAGGAACCATATGAAGAAGGCATCTTTTCCCACCCTTAATTTACTACTGCTGAACCAAACAGACCTGGGCTCCTGGGAACTCTGATGCAACCTGGGCAATGTCGTGAAAAGTTTCCTTATCACTGAAGAAGCGCTCAGCAGCTGCTCCCTTCCCCATGAAGTGAATGAAGGCTTCTTCCAGATCATTCCTTGAATGCAGAACGCTGTGATCTTTCCCATTCCCAGGACTAAGGCCAAGTGCCTGCAAGAGCTTCACCCCTGACAGCACCACATCAACACATGCATTGACTCTGGAAGGAGGAAAAAAACTGTGTGAAAGCAGCAGAAGCACCAAGTAACCGTTTTGCATTTAACAAAAGGAAAGTGTTTCTCAGAACCTTATTCAACAGAAAAACAGGGGAAGTAGATCTGAAACCTGGGAGAGGAAATAGCACATGGCAGGAGAAAAATTACATTAACTGGATGTATGTATTAGGATCAGAACACAGGACTCCTCAATAGTTTGGCAAACATTTACACTAGTTACACAGTGAGAAGACAGGTGCTTAGCATTTCAGAACAAAGCTACTGTAACAAAAATGTAACATTTCTGAGAAAACGCTGGCAGAGCCAAACTGGATTCATGCTGGCTGTGTGACTTGGGCAAGTCACTAATTTCTCTGTGCCTTGGTTTCCTCATCCACAAAATGGCAATAATATGAGCATTTAACTCATAGAGCTATGGTTAAGATTAAATATGTGAATGTATACTTAGGAACAGCAATTGGCAGAGTAAGCAAAATACGTGTTTCAGTCAAAGGCTAAGTATCAGGCATCTTCCCTCCAAAGACAAATGAGGATGGTGGCAAGATACAATAAATTACTAAATGCCGAGTACTCCCAGCTGAAACCCTGCCTCTTAGACTTTAGTGGTGGTTTACAGACTTAGGCACACCTGCGGCATTGTAAGAACTCACCCTTTGGCCAGTGTTCACAGGACTGACCCATGAACGTTAAAGACCTGCCACTCTTGGTTGTCTCGGTGGAAATTATAAAGTACAGGTTGAATCCCTTATCTGAAGAGCTTGAGATCAGAAGTGTTTCTGATTTTGGAATATTTACATATACATGAGATATCCTGGGAATGCGACTCACGTCCAAACACAAATCCATTTCACATATACTTCATACATACAGCCTGAAGGTAACTTTATACAGTGTTTTAAATACTTTTGTCCATGAAATAAAGTTTGTATTCCTTATGTGTGGGTGGAATTTTCACATATAAATATTTAATATACATCAGCAGCATCATGTCAGTGCCCTAAAGTTTTGGATTTCAGAGCATTTTGGATGCTCAACTTGTACTAAGGTTGTCTGGCATGGCCTCTCCTATGTGTGTATGGAGAAGGTCTGTCTTATATTTTCAGGGTTTCTTTGCTAAGTCATCCCTCTTTTAAAGAGAACGTTTAAATAATTAAGGTAGTTAGATGAGGTCTTCCTGCCCCTACCCCTATCATGGTAATCTTTATTCCTGCCTCTGCCTATTGGGATGTCATTCTGGCCAGTGAGGTTGGATTACCATACAGACAGCTTCCAGCCGGCCAACTGAGACGGCCCCTAATGATACGGGTGACTGGGCTTCAGAGTTAATTCTGACCAGCTCTGAAACCACAAGGTAAATCATTAATAAAAATGTCCCAATGGATGAAATTTTGGTGTAAAATGCATAGTTACATTTCCCTTTTAGTCTCTTTCAAAAATGAAGAGGAATGAGACTGGGATGAAGAGGAATTTTACCAGGTATATTCCTACTTTTAACATGCATGTGTTCCTTTTATAATTTTTAAAATGATATAACTTTAAAAAGGTTTGTATGCAGACTAGATATTATTTACATCACTTAAGGAAGATTTACAAGGGCAAGGAAGAGACATCCTCCCCCAAGACACAACCAGACTGCATCTTCATTATAAGGGTCCTTTTTATTAATTCTTCCCCTAGGGATTCATGTTGTGAAAGGAGTTTTGCCTATCAAATAGCATTTAAATACTCACAGTTTCTTGTTCGACATACATAATGACTGGTCAACTGAAGAAGCATAACCTAAGAGTTACTACGCCTTTCAGTGCATAAAACATCTAGCTACTCTAATTATTCGGCTCTTCTCTTTAAAAGAGGGATGATTTATAGCAAAGAAACACTGAAAATATAAGCCAGAACTTCTCCATGACACATACAGAAGGGGCTATTCTGGACACGCACGTGGCAGTTGCTTAAAAATATGTTTAAAATCTTTCCCTTCACAGCCTTCAATGTAAAGAAACCAAACACACCTTGCAAACTGTCTCAATTTTACCTCAGACATGGTGCCCTTTATTTCTAATGAATGCAGCATTAGATTGGTAGGTAGAATCAATAGGAATACAAGTATCTCTGGCTTTCAGATGCCAGTAGGTTCCTAAGTTTCAGACAATGAGGGCTTGAGTAAGGAGGGATACCATTTCCTCCAGACAGCCCAGTCTAAAAATTGTATCCAAATGGATTTGGGTCCCGAGTCTGAAGAGTGAAGGTTCAGAAACGGAGGGAAATCTGCCTTTGAAAATAACTACTTCAAAAACTATAAACACCCTCAAGCCTGTAATCCCAGCACTTTGGGAGGCTGAGGCGGGTGGATCATGAGGTCAGGAGTTCGAGACCAGCCCGGCCAAGATGGTGAAACCCCGTCTCTACTGAAAATACAAAAATTAGCTGGGCATGGTGGTGGGCACCTGTAATCCCAGCTACTTGGGAGGCTGATGCAGGAGAATCGCTTGAACCCGGAAGGTGGAGGTTGCAGTGGGCTGAGACTGTGCCACGGTACTCCAGCCTGGGTGACAGAGTGAGACTCTGTCTCAAAAAACAAACAAACAAACAAAAACTATAAACACCCCACTCTCCATATCTAGTACTGCTGAGATTTTAAACAGTCTGACTCCTCAAAGATGAGAATGGGGAAAGCTGTTCAGTATATTTTGTGACACAAGGCAAAACCCAACAGAACTAATTTTGAGTTACAAAATATCACTATCATGGAACATTTTCCATCCCTCACCTAATCACATCAGGAATACTGAGGGAAAATAACCAGTTTCTCAGACTGGTTCATGGTTTACTTGATAACTTTTTATAATTAAAAAAACCGGGCTGAGCACAGTGGCTCAAACTTGTAACCCCAGCACTTTGGGAGGCCAAGGCGGGTAGATCACCTGAGCCTAGGAGTTCCAGACCAGCCTGAGCAATATAGCAAGACCCCATCTCTACAAAAAATACAAAAATTACCCAGGTGTGGTGGTGCACACCTGCAGCCCCAGCTACTCAGGAAGCTGAGACAGGAGGATCACCTGAGCCTGGGAGGCAGAGGTTGCAGTGAACCAAGATGGCACCACTGCTCTTCAGCCTGGGCGAGAGAGCAGGACCCTTTCTCAAAAAAACACTGAACATCTACTACATGCTAGATGCCAAACGAGTACTTTACATGTACTTTCTTGTTCTGTTTTATAATACTTTAACCAGAATAAGAATCTTTCTCTGCACTTTCTCAACTCAATAGCATCCCAAAATGTAAAAAGCATTATTACCTAAGATGTTGTATTATCAAGGGGAAATAAAGGGAGACACAGTTAAAGAATCAGAAAACAAAATTATGCTCATCTGACATGCAAGCAGAATCTCACACATCAGTAAAAAATGTGTATTAGATGACAGTGTGATTTTGGAGAAAACACAGACGAAACAACTGGAAAATAGGTCAAGACAATAGATGCTGAATGTCAAAATGGGCTGGGGGGGCTGGGAAAGAGGGCATAGTTCTCCCATCTAGACCTTAAGTGCCTCTATGGTAAAGATGATGTTTCCTATCTCCTCCCTTCTGTTTCATCACCTGTAAAATGTTTTCTATGGTTTTCTTTTTTTTGAGACGGAGTCTCGCTCTATCGCCCAGGCTGAAGTGCAGTGGCGCGATCTCGGCTCACTGCAAGCTCTGCCTCCTGAGTTCACACCTTTCTCCTGCCTCAGCCTCCCGAGTAGCTGGAACTACAGACGCCCGCCAGCCCACCCGGCTAATTTTTTGTATTTTTAGTAGAGACGGGGTTTCACCATGTTAGCCAGGATGATATCGATCTCCTGACCTCGTGATCCACCTGCCTTGGCCTCCCAAAGTGCTGGGATTACAGGCGTGAGCCACCGCGTCCGGAGATTTTTCTAAGGTTTTCGCTAGTTTTACATTACGTGCATCAGCTGTTATAAGAGCTAATCATAATCGTTAAGACACAGAACTGTAAAGAGACGGAAAAAAAGGCAGTGGTCCCTGGGCTGAACCCTAGCTCTTGCATCTAGACAGAGAAAGGCGGCTGATCTTTAAGAAGCACTCCATGCTAGGCAGGCATTTTCAGATAGATTAAACCTATTTGCAAAATGCTGTGACTGCTAAGTAGTCATCACTGCTTTTAGCTAAGAAAAGTGAAGCTGTGGATTAACTAACATTTCAAAAGCCACAGACAGGCGGATCTGAAATTCAAACCCAGATTTATCTGATACTGAAGCCCACGTAGGAAGTACACACAAGCAAAATTGTACACGAAGGGATTAACCTTGTGTTTGGATACAATAAAGAATGATCTAGCTACAATGGAGAATTCATACAGGGGAGAAGACCAAGATATGTTTCAAGGGTAGGGGTGAAGCCAGTTCCAGAGGCAATAAATATTAGCATAAGGGTGTTTTGTTGTTTGAGACGGAGTTTCACTCTTGTTGCCCAGGCTGGATGGAGTGCAATGACACGATCTCGGCTCACCACAGCCTCCATCTCCCAGGTTCAAGCGATTGTCCTGCCTCAGCCTCCCGAGTAGCTGGGATCACAGGCATGCACCATCACGCCCGGCTAATTTTGTATTTTTAGTAGAGATGGGGGTTTCTCCATGTTGGTCAGGCTGGTCTCGAACTCCTGACCTCAGGTGATCCGCCCACCTCAGCCTCCCAAAGTGCTGGGATTACAGGCGTGAGCCACCGTGCCCGCTGGGTTTCATCATTTTTAAACCAATGAACAACAGGTACCAGAGTCTGATTTAGAAGCAGGGGAAGTTTCCTAGAAACACCTTAAACACCTTAAAACTCCTATCCTTTACTTCTTTGACCCCTTTCCACCAGCCACTTAAGTGCCTCCCAGAATTCCACCTTTACCATTTTTACCTTCTCTTCTTCTCTTCCTGGGTGATCCTATACAGTCTCTGGCTTCAACCTAAGTACCAGTGTCTCCAAAATTTGCAATCCTGTTTCTCAATATATTCCTAAAAACCAGCTTCTCATTTTCAGTAGCTGACAGAGAAGCTTCATCTGAAATCCCATAACAATGTATGTATATTTCTCCTCTGAAATCCAATTTATCTTTTTAAACTTGTTTTTCTTAAATCTCTCTTAATGGCAATAACATGGCATCAACCAGGAACCAATGGGAAAGACCAGGCTTCAATTGCTCCCCTGGCACTTGATAGCTGCAAGATCTTGGGCAAATAAATCAATGTGTGAAGATTTGGTGATGTCTGTTATCTGCCTGCCTCATAAAGTTGTTGCACTGGTCAATTTTCATAATGGTATAATGATTGCCCGGGACTGAGTAATGTATAAAGGCCAGAGGTTTAATTGACTCACAGTTCAGCATGGCTGGGGAGGCCTCAGGAAGCTTACTCATGGTGGAAGGGGAAGGAGAAACAAGGCATCCTATTCTTCAGGTGTCAGGAAGGAGACGTGCCGAGCGAATAGCAGGGAAGAGCCCCTTATAAAACCAAAGGATCTCATGAAAACTCACTCACTATCAGAACAGAACGGGGGAACTGCCCCCGTGATTCAATTACCTCCACCTGGTCTCTCCTTTGATTAGCTTATGGGGATTACAATTCAAGATGAGATTTGGGTGGGGACACAAAGCCTAATCATATTAGTTGTTATCTTTAATACTGGGCTGGGTGAGGTGGTTTACAGCTGTAATTCCAGCACTTTCAGAGGCCAAGATGGGAGGCAAGGCCTGAACTCAGTAGTTCAAGACCAGCCTGAGCAACTTGGCAAATCCTGTCCCTACCAAAAATATAAAAATTAGCCGCGCGTGGTGGTACATGCCTGTAGTTCCAGCTACTTGGGACACTGAGCATGACAGGTCAAGGCCATAGTGAGCTTGATCATGAAACTGCACACTCCAGCCTGGGTGACAGAGCGAGATGCTGTCTCAAACAGAAAACAAAAACTAAACAAGATATCCCATACTAAAAACCTGTCGTTTTTGACTGCCTTTCTTTACTCCACCACATCCAACCTATTATTCCGGTTATCTCTCAAATCTCACCTCTTCTACATCATTGCCAAGTCTGGTTCAGGCTCCTTTCTTCCTTTACACAAACCCTACAACGGCCTCTTATACCAGTGTCAGAGTCTCAAGATATTCCTCCTTATGAATCACATTAAATTGCATTTTGAGTGTGTCTGTGTGAGAGTGTGAATACGTCTCTAGAGAAGTCAAACTACAACCTCAAAATGAGATTCTGATACAAGAATACAAGTACTGCACCTGCTTCCCCTCATCCCTCCTAAATCCCCCTATCTTTGGGCTAAAAATCCTCTTTGGGGCCGGGCGCAGTGGCTCACACCTGTAATCCCAGCACTTTGGGAGGCCGAGGCGGGCAGATCACGAGGTCAGGAGATCGAGACCATCCTGGCTAACACAGTGAAACCCCGTCTCTACTAAAAATACAAAAAATCAGCTGGGCATGGTGGCGGGCACCTGTAGTCCCAGCTACTCGGGAGGCTGAGGCAGGAGAGTGGCATGAACCCGGGAGGCAGAGCTTGTAGTGAGCCGAGATCGCGCCACTGCACTCCAGCCTGGGCGACACAGCCAGATTCCATCTCAAAAAAAAAGAAAAAAAAAAAATCCTCTTTGGGAAATAAATGATGAGAAGCAGTGAAACAGGTTAGAACCACTGCTCAAAATCCACCCTTCACATTCCCACCAATTCTCAACAAAGAACTTGTCATCAGTTAACTGCTTATAAGCCTTTATGGCTTCCCCATAAAAAGCCCTTCACAATCTGGTCCAACCCTTTGTTCTCAGCATCATCTCTTTACAACCCTCTACCATAAGATTCTTGCTCGAAAACAAGGCTGACCTGTTCCCAAACCAACCATGTACTTTTTCACATTTGGTTCTCTTGCCTAGGTGGACCTGTTCCCACTTTGGCTTGGAGAAATCTCATTTCTTCTTTAGTGTCTGTCCTATGAAAGTCACCATAGTAAAATATATTTTCCAAGATGGTCGCAATAAGATGTCCCATTCCACATGTTCTTTTCACAACGTGACACGGATGCTCCTCCCATCAAGGTTTGTTCTATGTCCCCTCCCTTAAAACCAGGTGGACCTGTGACTCTGGTAGAAGAGTTCCTATATGCTTCTAAGATTAGGTCGTAAAAGGCATTAAGGCGTCTGCCTGGTCCTCGTGGGATGTTCCTCTTCTAACCATAATTGTTATAGACTGAACTGTCCACCCCCCACCAATTCATATGCTGAAACCCTAATTCCCAATGTGACTATATTTGGACATGGGGCCTTTAAGGAAGTAATTAAGGTTAAATAAGGTCACAAGGGTGAGCCCTGTTCCAAAAGGACCTAGTGTCCATATAAGAGGAGTGAGAGGCACCAGGAGCGTGCATGCGCAGGCTAACAGTGAAAAGTCAGCTGGCTGCAAGCTAGGAAGGGAGGCAACATCAAAAACCAATCCTGCCAGTACCTTGATCTCGGACTATCAGCCTCCAGATCCGTGATAAAACAGATTTCTGTTGTTTAATCCACCTAATATGCGGTATTCTGTTCTAGCAGTCCAAGTACACTGATACAATAATATGTGTTTTTCCAATAAGTGAGGCGGGGACCTTGCTTCACCCATCTCTGTATCTTAAGAACCTAGAACAGAACTGACACTAACCATGTAGCTGGTGAATATCTGCTGAATGAACGCACATAAAGCAAGGAAGGACAATTTAATCCCAGCACTTTGGGAGGCCAAGGTGGGAGGTTCGCTTGAGCTCAGGAGTTCGAGACCAGCCTAGGCAATATAGCAAGACCTCGACTCTACTAAAAAAAATAAAATAAATAAAAAATTGGTTGGGCGTGGTGGTGCTTGCCTGTTGTCCCAGCTACTCCAGAGGCTGAGGCAGAAGGATCTCTTGAGCTTGGGAGGTCGAGGCTGCAGTGAGCAGTGATTGCGCCACTGCACTCCAGCCTAGGCGACAGAGAGAGAGAGACCCTGTGTCCAAAAAAATAAAACAAAAAAAATTATAGCTAATATCGAATGCTTTTTAAAGCAAGCACCATGCTAGAGAGATTACATGAATTATGTCATTTAATCTTCAGGACAAGTTTGCTCTACTTTACCCCTCCCAGTCCCAACACTCCACAGAAAGTAGTAGTCTACATGGTAGAGGGCCTGCTTTTATGTGGTGGTTATACATAACTCTGAGGTCATGGCAAGAAAGTCAAATTGAACTGAGTCAGAGACTAAAGTTAGTGTTTACAATATCAACACTATAAAGGGAATAATTACATTCCCAAGGAAAAGTACAAAGAAAGGAGGCACTGTGATTTGGAAGAACCTTAAATATGCAACGTCACTGAAGTCAGGGGAAGAAAAGAGTTTCACGAAGAAGGACGTGTTCAATGCATGGAAGGCTGCAGAGAGCAGATAATGAAGACTCAAAAGGCAAATCAGAGAGGAGCTGCAGTACAGTCGTGTGGTTTCCAGACTACACGGCGTTACGAAAGCAAGTGGGTAAAGGCAGAAATCACTCGTCTTCAAGAAGTTCAGAAGAAAGAGGAAGACGAGTGTTGTCAAAGTGGGTAAGGTCAAGTATCTTTGACTGCAAAACAACAGTCGCCAGAAGAGAAGGGGCTAAAAGTTGGAACGAGGAACAAGGCTCGGAGAAAGGTGTCAGACAAAGAGGGATTAGCAAGAAGCTGTTAGGGCTGGTCCTACCGGGATCAGAGAAAGGTGCAGAGGCCAGCCGAGTGGAAAGAGCAGCGGTGACGAACCGGGTTCCACTCAGACGTCCGACGCTTCTTGCCAAGGGGCCAGCGCGGACAGCAGCGCCTCCCGGGGACCTCTGGGAAGCCCTGTTTCTGGCCGGCTCCGCCCGACCTCCAAGGCGGACCTCGGAGGTTCAGAGACCCAGGCCCCGCTGGCACTCACCCCACTGCCACGCGGCGCCAGCGCCGGACTGGCCGCACGATAAGCGCGTCCCAGGCTGCCGCCAACCGGCCCTCAGGGGAGACGGGTCCTGGGGGCGCAGGCGCGGGCCCCAGACACAGCGAGCTCCACAGAGAGCGCAGCGCCGAGCCTGGCAGCTCTGGCTCCAGCAGGAAGACGCAGCCCACGGCCAGCGCCAGGAAGCCCGCGTACGCGGAGCCGCGCCACAGCGCCATGGGGACCGAGGCGCCGCAGCTGCGCGAACCGACTCCTTTCCTAGTCCGCGCCTCTTCCGGGCTCGGCGCGCGCTGATGTTGACACAAGCACTACGTCAAAAGGGCGCGCCACGGGCTCCCCAAGGGGCGGGGCGACGGGCGGTGCCACGACGTAGCGGGTGGGGAGCCCTCGGCTCAGTGCGAGTCCCGGCACTGCGGTGTTGCGGCCCCGGAGGAGGTGGAACAATGGCAGTTGTGCCAGTCCGGGCGCTGCACCCCCCCCTTCCCGGAACTCTAACCGTATCCCCAGATAGAGGGATGGGAACACATTTGCTTTCCCAGTAAAACGAAACGGACAGATTGTGAAGAAGCGGACAAACCTCGCGTTAATATTCGAACCAGTCAGTGTCTCCATTGGCACAGATCACACCCCCATCTTTTAATACCTCCGTCCGCCCCGTGTCCCCTCATTTACTAGACTCGTCCTCTTCCAGGCCTGGTGCTCGGCGCTTCTAAGAGGAGTAGGGTCACAGAACAACAGCGCTACCGAGACCCCTGGGGTACGCGAGGCAGGGGGATTCCGCCCCTTTGGAAGGTGGCCGAGACCCTCAGGCACTAAAGGACTTCGTCGAGACAGGAGAGCCCTCAGAGATCGGCAGAGATCGTCCTCTTCTGGATAACCAGAGTCCACAATCAAACCTTAAAATAACCCTTTTGGGGGCGCTGTTCCCTTTAGCAAACTCTGGAAAATGTACACAATCTTGTGCACAACACGAGAGTTACGGACCTGGGTTAAGGAACGTTGTTTTCTTTTGTTCCCCCTTGGTGACATCACTTAAACCCAGCTCTCTCTTCGTTCATATGACTTTTCTGTGCATGAGGCTAGGTTGAGAGACAATGAAGCTAGGCTTGGTACCAGCTCATTCTCAGCAGCCATCATGCCCGGCCTAGTCTTGTTCCCTGGCCTGTTTCCATTTTTCCAGCTCTGTTGGCTCCTGACGTTGGCTTTGTGTCCAGTTTTCCAGTGTGACCCTGACGTTTGGAGTTGGCAGCGACACTTTATTTCCCTAACTTTGATCTTCGGCATTAGTCTTCATTCTCCTCAGCCCCACCTCATCAGCTTTTCTCCATCCTGGTCATCTACCTTCCCTCAGTTGATCCTACCTGGCCTACCTGACCATGCCATCCCTTTCGACAAAGATATTCACACAGGAAGAGATCTGGGCTACCTTGGAGAAGAAGCCAAAGAGCCAGTGAGATATTTGTGAAGCCATGAAAGCCATCTTCCCTAGAGTTGCCTGTCACTTCTCTCTCCTCAGGGAGACATGTCAGTTCCTAGAGAAACTGCTCCTTATCACAACCCTCAGCTGTCAGGTTTCCCTGGCACCCAGAGGGGACTGAGCCAGCAGCTGACCTGAAAACAGTGAGTCTGCTGACTGTCCAGCGACCATTTTCCTCTATTGAGAATTTTAACCAAGTATCTGATGTCTGCAGTTATTTGATATTAGCTGTGGACCCACAGTCACACAAGGCTGAAGGTCAGAACCAATTAAATATGTTTCCAAGGTGAAGTTTTGGGAGGAAGCTGAACTGTGGGAAGGCCATAGAACAGACAGTAGATCTAGTCCTAGTCCTCTAGGAGGACTTTTGATTTAGTCACAGAGACGAAACAATAGCAGTTGAACCAAGTGGATGTTTATTTCTCATGTAAAAGTCTAAATGGGGTGTTGGCATGTTGTGGGCTGTGGCAGCAAGCTTGGCCCCCTCTGGTTGCTATGGGGGCTGCTCTGGGCCTCTTGCTGGTTGGTCCCTCAGTATGGGTTTGCATTGTGGGTGGTGAAGGGGCCAGACAAGGAAACGAGAGGGCTGACCTCAATTCCAACTGAGAACTGAAGAGTCAGGAGCCACAGGAGGTGAAGAACAGACCATCAGGGACAGTTGCCAGGCCTGGTGGAGCCTGATGTGGCTTCTGGTCACATACATAGTCACAGGGCCCTTAATTCCTTCTCATCAGGGGCTCAGGGGCAGGCATTCACTGTCTTGGTGCCACAGTCCCTCTTGAAATATTTCCTTAATGAAAATCAGAAAAGATTCTGATCATCTGTCTGTTCAGAGAGTCTGGAATCCTTTGCAAGCCAATTGTTTTTCTAGAAGTTAGGTTTCTGGGGACAATTAAAACAGCTCTGAGTGGGCAGCTGTGGCTTCATTGCCTAGGCTGAACAAAGAGGAAAGGGCTGGGCTGGGCAGACCTCAAGACACCCCCTGCCCCCACCCAAATGGCTTCCAGACATGGCCTTTGCTATTGGTTCTCTCTCCTAGGACCTTGAAATGAGAGACGAAAAGCAATTTTGTTCTAGAAAATTCAGAGGCAAATGGAGGCTCCAGGTGTCTCACCCAAGATCCTGACCTGGAAGGCCAGGGAGCAGATACTGTGTTAACACAAAGACTTAGCAGAATCCTGTCAGCTTCCAAATTAGCTGAAGGTTTTGGCTTTAACAAAAATACCCACCCCCATGATCTGAAAGGCCTGAAGGGGCACATTTGTTCCCACATGTAGCAAAAACTAAAGTGGGCCCAAACAGTCCCTGTGAAAGCTGGGCTAACCCACTTTCCTTGCAGCTCCAGGCCCCTGCGGTTTCATCCAAGCTGCTCTTTGAAGGCCACGCTGTGTCAAAGCCTTTGTTGATGCCAGGGACACAGCCCACCACAGGCCATACCCAAAGGCCAGAGTCAGAGCACAATTTTGAAGGTTACAGAAAACTCCAAAGAAATTAAAGAGATGGAATAAAGGATCCCAGTACCCGAAAAGAGAAAGCTTTGTGTCTGTAACCATAGCCCTTGGCAATCAGACATCCTCCTCACTCATGTGAGGTCAGGAGGGGACTAGAAGTGCTCAGCAGAGGATGGACTGCCTCTGGCCAGTGCAGGGGAGAGGCAGGGGTGTTGAGGCACAGGAGCCAGATGAGAGGAACGTCAACAGCAAAGCAGTAAGAAGAACATGAGAGTTTCTTGATAGTAATAGAACTTCCTACACAGACTAGGAACCGGGTTGTAGCTTGAGAAGATGTGACAACGTAGTGGCCTGGAATTTTCACTTTGGAATTAACTGCTTTGGACCAGGAAGAAGCGCTGAGCCTAGAAAGGCAGGAGGCACAGGACTGTGTGGGCTTCTGTCTGGCCAGGACCTATGAGCTTCATAGGGAAATGAATCAGGGGGCAGGATAAAGCATAGTCCTCCACCCTTACAGTGCTCTCTTAGCCATCTCAGGCTTCCCAGAACACTGCTACCAGGCTGCTTGCTGGAGCCCTTTACACTCACAGGCCTTCCTGCTTGCGTTCTCTTCTGCAGGCTGCATAAACCAGTCCTGTTGTAGACCTTGTAGCATCTGCTACAGTGATCTGGTTTGGGTTTTGGTATTACTTGCAATGGTTTGGAAGGAAATGGGAAGTTTGCCTTCTAACTACATTTTCTTTTTGATTCAAGAACTCTAGCAGTTCTACAACCACTGGGCCTAAAGCTAAAATAAAGGAAAAATAAATAAAAGGTAGCAAAAACACCTAACTGGTAATGGCCTGGCAGCATTGCCAGAGAGTCCTCAGGGACCCAGGCTTGTTCTGTCTTTTGCTCTGCCATCCCTAGGACAGCACAGAAGAGGCAGTACATCTTAACAAGATCAGGGTTCTGGAAGAAGGGAGAGGTGGTGAATGGTTGTTGCAAGCAATCAACAGTTCATACTTCAATGGAAAGAAGGTGGGATTTGATTCCTTGTCGCAAATCTTCACTCTGTCACCTGCTATCTGTGTGTCCTCAGGTAAGTCACTTAACTTTTCTGTTCTTCAGTTTCCTTATCTGCAAAATAATTCCTACTTTGCAGAATGGTTGTGGGAGGTAGAGTTATCTTAAGACAGTCTAGCACAGTGTCTGCTACATGTTGGAATTCAAAACACTCCCTGCTGTTGCTATGGTTGGTTCTGAGAGCTATATTTAATTTTCTTCTTAGTCTTTCTTGCTGGTCTGTCACTCTCTTACTATAAGGAAGACAGCCATTTCTGCATAGGTCACTATGCAGTAGCCTTTTCTATTTTTTGGCTGCTCAGCATCTATATAATATCCCACTGAATGAAAATACTAAAATTTATCTATTGTACTATGAATAGACCATTTGGAGTTTTCCCAGTTTTTTACTATTACAGTGTTGCTGTGTACATGCTGTGTTACATGTGTATAGCCATTTCTTCAGGGTAGAAACTAAATAACATTTCTGGGTCAATGATATGCCTGTCTTCAACTTTACTATATAATGTTTGACACCTTTCCAAAGCAGTATGCCAGTTTATCTTCTCACTGGCAGCATATGAGAATTTCTGTTGCTCCAGCTACATACACTCCAACAGATTCTTAAAGCTTTGTCATTTTGTAGGGTGTGTAGTGGTATCTTACTGTGGTTTTGACGTTTCTATTTGTTGGTTAGTTGCAAGTATATTGCCTCCCTCCCAGTCACTATTCATTCTCTTTATAATGTCTTTAGTGAGTAGAGTTCTATGAAAAATTATTCTTATTTATGTATTTTTGTAGAGATAGGATCTCTCTATGTTGCCCATGGTGGTTTTGAACTCCTGGCCTCGAGAGATCCTCCTGCCTTGGCCTCCCAAAGTGCTGGGATCATGATTGTGAGCTACCATGCGCAGCCTTAAAGTTCTTAGTTTTTTATATAGTTAACATTTTGTTCTTTTTTTTATTACTACTTTCCCCTTATCATTGGTGCTTTTTGTTACTTATTTAAAAAATCTTCCTGTACTCAGGATCATGCTGGTATTTTCCTGTACAACCTTCTAAGAGCTATAAGCTTTCACATTTCATGTTTAGGTATTTAATCTACCTTGGAATTGATTTTTGTGTGTTGTGAGAAGAATGCTTATAGATACCCAGTTTACCCAGTGCCTTTTACTGGTCATTTCTCAATGACTCTGCATTCCCACCTCTGTCCAATACCACGTGTCTATGTATGTGTGGATCTGTTTTGGGGCTCTTCAATCTGTTCCATTGGTCTATTTGTTTATCAGCATCTCTCTGTCTTGATATCTGTTAATGTAAATTCTTTTGCCTTA